TTTCAATTTAAATAATTGTAGGTTTCGTAATATTTTTAGAATTCGATTATACATAGTTTATCACGTCAAAACAAAGTCAAAGAAAAACAAGCGAATAAAAAAGTCATACGTTTACATACCAAAATTAAAATTACAAAGTACATCTCTACAAATTTATTATTTTTTCACGAATGGGCTGACATTTTCTTTTTACTTTGTATTTTACTCTTATTTTACATTGAAATGAATGTGATTTCATAGCTGAGTAAATTATCTAGCTTTGTTTTTTTATTTATACAGACTCTGATACAAAAAGTCATAATTTCGACTTCCACATAAATCAGATGACGGGTGTGATTCTTTTACTCACTGTATATACAGTGGGTGTAGAAAGTATTCGTACACCGATCAATTTCCAAAAAAACTATGTCAAATTGTAATTTATTAACTTATTTTTTATAAACAATGACATTTTACATATTCTCGGAAATCTCTAGAATAGATAGATTATAAAAAAAATAGCTATTTATATAAGTTACGAAATTAACAAAAAAAAAGAATTAATTGATAAAAACGTTGAAGCAATAAGTATTCGCACAACTGTTTAATTTTTAAAACTTAATTTAAAGAAAAAGAAATTTACAATATTTTACAAGTATATAATACTTCCTTCGTGGGATTTCCTTTTGATTTTATAATTATTGTAACTCTTCGAAGCATTAAATTAACTAAATTATTAGTTACTCGAAGTGCGATCTTCTTCAATTCCTCTATTAGAGCCATTTTTAAAAGTACTTTACTGGAAATTTTATGTTTTCCAATTCGTACGGAGCAATAAACTAATGTGTTTACGTTACAAACTCTACTGTAAATGGCTCGTCATAAGAATCGTACAAATACTTATTGCTTCTATACTTTTACCCACTTTTCGCATTCTTCTGTTAATTTCACAAATTATATTAACTAGTAAATATTGTTTGGACTATATCTATCTTAGAGACTTCCGAGAATATGTAAAATATCATTAATTGTTCAAAAAGAAGTTAAGAAACTACAATTTCACACAACAGTTTTTTCGGGAAATTGATCGGTGTACGAACATTCTACACTCACTGTATGTATATTTTTCCAATCGATTATCCATGAATCCACACAAAAGTTATGCAACTCGAATAACAATCTAATAGTGGACCAATTAAAAATCATGGTATTTTATTGCAATCTACAGAATCTGTTTCGTGACGTTTGTAATCGACTCTTCGTGTAATAGTCGCACGCGAGAAGTAACACTTGAAGACAAGGAATACCTCCATTCTATCAAGGGCAATAATATGTTTGCTCGTCGAGGGAACCGAGCCATCTTGACTTTAAGTGCAAAAGTTTCTTGCTCGCGACTACTAGCGTAAGTTCAAAAGCCGTTCTTACGACACAGAGGGGTGATCATTTTAAACCGTGCAGTGTTTCAAGTCGATGGCCGCCATCGATTAGAGTAAAGCGATCTTTAGAAACGGTCTCGTGTCGGCATCGAAATAGGTATACATCGCTTCAACGACATGATTCATCTTCGTGTAACGCTATTCTAATAGGGAATCGGATATACTATGTCGAATAGTATAGGATTATCGTACACGTACTGACGCAATCACGTGGTAAGTATGATAGAAGTATACAGTATATACATATATATATATACATATTAGGGAAAGTCTCCCGAAGAGCTTGCATAACATCGAATGACGTGCACTTTGGTGTAAAACATTAACGATGAAAATGTAGTAAGAAACGGCATGCCTTCGAATGTCCAGAGTGCTGTTGATTAATGTGGTCCAATCGATCGAGTGGAAACTTTTCGTGCGAAATTTCAATGCACAGTCGATCGGACTGTCGCTTACAAAGGAAGAAAAGTTATCCTATGACTTCTTTTCCGTTCTGTCGCTATATTTATTTTAATTCCTTTCCACCAAATGTTTATCTAAAGCCGGCGACTGACTTACAACAGAACGCTGTAATGTAACTGCTCGGCACGAATTTTACGGTTCGACATCAACGTTACATTACAAGGTCCTTTTTGGAATCACGAATGCTCGCTTCGAACTCTCGGCTGAATTCTCTCTCAATGCTTCTTACTCAGTTCAGTGAAAAGTAGACGATCAAAGAGGTTCGTCAAAAAACCGACAGACCAGTGGAGCACGGTCGAACGCAAACCGAACTCAAGAGCGGCTCGGTTCGTCGCTCGCTAGTCCGCAAAACTAAGCGAATGCTCGCGTTAAGCTGTCGACTGACTTGCAACAGGACATTGTAATGTAACGCGAGCATTCGCTTAGTCTTGACGGGCTAGCGAGCGACGAACTGAGCCGGTCTTGAGTTCGGTTTGCGTTCGACCGTGCTCCATTGGTCTGTCGGTGTTTTGACGAACCTCTTTGATCGTCTACTTTTCACTGAACTGAGTAGGAAGCATTGAGAGAGAATTCAGCCGAGAGTTCGAAGCGAGCATTCGTGATTCCAAAAAGGACCTTGTAATGTAACGTTGATGTCGAACCGTAAAATTCGTGCCGAGCAGTTACATTACAGCGTTCTGTTGCGAGTCAGTCGCCGGCTTAAGGCAGTGCGGCAGTTTGAACGCACGGTGAGCAAGCGAACTAGTGGCGGCATGAATGTAGTTCTGTGCAGATCGCTGGGCCACGTGGAGGCAACTAAATGTCTATTGCAGCAAAGGATGTTGTTTCCTATTACAGCACTGGTGTTATTTATTCATGACTTCATTGATACGAAGATATCCAAGAATGAATGTTCTTAAACGGTTCGAGATTCGAGCTGAATGAGAGTTTCAAGTATACGATGAACCGGTGAAGAAAGACAGACTTCTTGGCTTTCAGCTTTGGCAGGTGGCAGAGTAACTTCTCGTGGCACCATTAATTTTCATAGTCGCTACGTCTCCGTGTGGCGCCATTAGTTCGCATGCTCGCCGTCATGATGCTCTGTCTTAGTCTTGAGTTTGGAAAATGTAATCGTTTGGAGCTACAGTGGGTGTAGAATGTATTCTTACACCGATCAATTTCCCAAAAAACTGTTGTGTAAAATTGTAGTTTCTTAATTTCTTTTTTTATAATCAATGATATTTTACATATTCTCGGAAGTCTCTAAGATAGATATAGTCCAAATAACATTTCCTAGTTAATATAATTTGTGAAATTAACAAAAAAATGCGAAAAGTGGGTAAAAGTATAGAAGCAATAAGTATTTGTACGATTCTTATGACGAACCATTTACAATAGAGTTTGTAACGTAAGCACATCAGTTTATTGCTTCGTGGGAATTAGAAAACTAAATTTCTAGTAAAAAAGACTTAAAAAATGCTGTAATAAAGGAATGAAAGAAGATCTCACCCCGAATAACATCGACATTTATGATAGTTAATTTAATGCTTAGAAGAGCTGTAGTAATTATAAAATCAAAAGGAAATCCCACAAAGCATTAATTACTTATAAATTAATGTGAATTTCGTTTTTTTTTAAATGAATTTTTAGAAACTTAACACTTGTACGAATACTTATTGCTTTTGTATTTCTATCGATTTATTATTTTTTCTTGTTGATTTCTCACTTATACAAAATACCTAATCTTTTCGTACTGTATCTATTCTAGACATTTCCAAGAATATGTAGAATATCATTCTTGATAAAAAAAAAGTTAATACATCACAATTCACATAGTTTTTTTGGAAATTGATCGGTGTACGAATACTTTGTACACCCACTGTATATTTTGTTGCTAAACCATTAGATGACTGCGCGAGAATTAAATTGAATCAATGCTTGTTATTTATTTCTCATCCATTATCCAAATTAAGTTTTAATACCGATAGATCGAATATAACAATTTTTATCTGTATAAAACTTTTACCGTCCAACTTAAAAGTCTTTGTATATTGGATGAAGTGGCTACCATTTTTGAGAAGAAAGCATATTTGTTGCCTGTATGACGACTGAGATATTAATACACTCCATTACGTCTTCATAGCTCTTGTTTGTTTGTTTTATATTAGAGTATGAAGTCGATCACTTAGACTATAACCTTATTTGGTAGCTTTTCGGAACAGTCCTTTCCACACATGCAACTATAAAAGATGAGCCCGAAATTCTGACACAAAATTTTACGAACCCAACTTCAAACCCAACACAGAATTTGTGATAAATACGGATTAGTTAAGCTATTGTTTTGTAGCATAGCCACTTTGAATCAAAGTCGAACTGCGTTTTTAAATACGTAATAAACTGAGAATATATGGTATTTGTATATAATACTATATGTATTGTAAATTGTGAACAGATTTGTTATATTTGTAAGAAATATAGGTTTAAATTTCAAAGTTAAACCATTAAATTATTCAAGAAAGAAATTATATTACTTTCATAATACGTATGAATCTATTTTTTCTTTATCACGCACATGCACACGCAGGCACACACATATATAGTATATATTATAATACATACTATACACTTTGTTTCAGTGCTTTCTTCATCGAAATTTAAGTAACTGATTTACAGTCCACGCGTGTTATATTCTATAAAAAATATTTTGTTACTCTACCAACTATCAGAGAAACAACCATACACGCGAGTCCAAAGATTTAGTACATCAGTCGTCATTCAGGTATCCCGACAGGTTTAATCTCAAAGATGGCTGCCTTTGCATCCTCGCAGAGGTTTTCATGCTTAGTATTTCTAAAAATGAGTCTTGTAGCTTTACAAGCTTGTTCCAAACTCATTCTTACAACATTGTTGACTCTGATGAACCACATAATGCACTTAATATATAGAAATCATTGCAACACTGTTGACTCTCATGAACCACATAATGCACTTAATATATAGAAATCATTGCTCTTAACGCGAATTCACGGATAATTTAAAGTTCGCGACAGCCGACACCCGCTCGTTTGCACCACAGCATCCCTGTACTTTTAGAAGATAAAATGATCGGTTTGCAAATCTCGCTTCTGAGAGGCATCGTATATAAGAACGACATTTAAACACGATAAATGTCGTTAACACTGTGAGCATGGAAAAGATAGACTCCGTACACGGTTAATTTGGTCGATATCAGATTCGAAACATTCAGCGTTAGCTGCGCGGCTAATTTCTGTCGTGAAATTCGTTTCGAATTGAACTGATTAACCCCTTTATGCCAACCCAAGCAACGTTTTTTTTTATTCACACCAGTATCGGACAAGTTGCGTCATTTTTACGACATCAACCGTGTAGTTTTTCTTTTATGGGTTATTTCTAAGTTTGGTATGCAACCTTTGATGTCAACGAATGTAATGTTGAAAAAAATGATAAAATCTGGAGTAAAGACTTTTTTTAAAAATTGTATTACATTTGTAACAAAACCGACTGATGTGCATTAACTCATAAGTATTCGTACCCACTTATGTCTATCGGAGAAATTGGTTTAAATTAAATGATAGGTTTGATGCTTCCAAATAAATGTTTCATTATAAACATGTACGTGAATATACTTTACACGTGTATATATTTATAATGAAAAATGTGTTTAGAAACATCAAACTCATCATTTAATTTAGACCTTTAATAGACATAGAGGGTAGAAATATTTATGGGACTGACTGTATATTAATTGCCCAATTAAAATTTACGGAGTGCAATATTTTTGACGACACAATGACAAAGTGTCACTAGTTTGTATTAGCAGATTTTATTTTATTAGGTTGTCCCAAAAGTTTCTTTCGCTTTATTAATAAGTAATAGATGCACAATAGTTTATGTTTTATGTTACATTACTGAATTGTGTACGATTCATTTTGCTCCATTACTGTTACAACATGAATATCTATGAAATTAGATTGTCTATTTATATAAACACGACCACATAAAATAATTGAATGCAACTCGCGAAAGAAACTTTCGGGACAACCTAATAATTTGACACGTTTAATATTCGAATAGCCTCCAGGTTGGGAGATTTCAAACACTTTCAGAGAGAAAAGCTTGGCATTTACTGGCTTAAATTATAATTCAATGTGAAAAGTAGCGAGAGATGTAAGCTTCTGATGGTTCAAACAAAAACTAACAAATGGCTTATTTTTCTCTCTGCTGTTTCATCTAAAATTATTAGAACGATGCAATCATCTTGTGCTCGTCAAAAATCATATGCTCCGAAAATGCTAATTGCAAATAATAAATATGTAGATTCTACTTCCAATTAATAACAGATTCTAAAATAAAAACATTTTTCATTAAGAAAGAAGAAAAAGAAAAAACAAGTAACGCCCATTAAATGCATTGAAATGGGTGGCACACGAAGGGGTTAACGCACAGCGGATAATAATATTACAGTGCAATCAGTTATAAAGACGACGGTGTGATATACAAAATGACGTATAACTCGAATAAATCCTACGAAATTAACGATATAAAAGTGAAGTATATAGATACACCTTTTTCTCTGGGGTTTTCTTTTTCTCGTTAAACGATTCATCGTCGCATATAGCAATTACACACGTTCTCTATGTCTCTTCGACGTCGCACGAAGTTCAAATTCCCATACAGTGATCACGGTCCAACTCGTTACGCGCGTTTCATCCGAACGCAAATGTCTAGGCACAATCACTTTCGCATCATTTCGTTAGATTTTTTTTTATTTCTCTTATCGAAGATCTCCTCCACCTCGTGGTCTCTCTCTCTCTCTCTCTCTCTCTCTCTCTCTCTCTCTCTCTCTCACGATTGTAAATTATCTCGTTACACGAGCCAGTTTATCGCGCGGCCTATTCATTACCTCCTCCGCACTTGCTGTCACTCTATCTCGTTCAAGAAAAATCGTTACGTTACTACCAGGCTCCCCAGGATCCGTGAAACGAAGTAACGCGCGGATCTGGGTGTGCTAAGTACATTCGTTAACGAGAATTCGTTAGCCAGTACCGATCGAATCTGTGCGATTCGAAATCTCGATCGAATCGATGGGTTATTTCGGTTCGGTTCGTTCCTTTTCTTTTCTTTTTTTTTTCTCTGGATTCAGGCACGATTGCACGATACGTCACTATCGAAACTCTCCGTGACACTCCAGCTGACAGTGGACGCGTTAAATGCCCGACGAAAACTATTCCGCAAGAAAGCCGCGCAGGCCTTGCTCCTCTCCGTGATGATCTCGTATAATTGATTTTCCAATGTGAGGCTGTTGGCGGTGAGCAGTAGCGGCAGTGGTATCGACGCGTTCATGATCACTAGATTACCGATATTAAGAGGAGCTGTTTCCCATTGTCAGACACCGCTGTTCGGAAAGCGTGGCGGGGGAAGCGGGGGCGGTGGTCTCTCCGGCTGAGCGGGAGCGCCGGAAGATCGTTCTGATCCAGCTGCAAACACAACTGTTCGTCCACATTAAACAGATGCAGATTTTTGATTACACTCGCGTGTACTTGTTTATTAAAAAATTTTTTTTTTTTTAACACTACAATTGGCATTCATCTATTGTCAAACCGTTTCAATTTAAAAGACGACAAACAGCAAGCTTTCTACGATTCTTGTAGAGAGAAATTGTCACAGAGAATTAACATGTTACTTGTACCACGAACGTCTCGTTGAGTGGGTTGTTTTACGATAAACAGATTGATTATTGTAGATACGAGGTTGGGGATTTTCGGGAAACTAGAATATATTGTAGTTCAGGGGAAATTAGGGAGAGAGGTGTTCAAGTCATCGTTCTGCTTGTTTCGAATTTGTTTAAAAAATATAGCATTTCGAAGTGCTTTTTTTAAATTTGCAAAATAAATATTATTTATAAATATATAAAATATTTATTTAAATATTTATTATTTTATTATTTATTATTTTATATAAATAAATATATAAAAGTGCACTGATGTACACAGCAAATACTGCCAATAAAAGAACTACATCGCATATTAGTATTTTATTTTCATGTTGTATACGTGAACAATTGTTTTGAATGGAAAAGAATATATTTTGGAAGCCTATTCCTTTTCAATGAAAATGAACAAAAGCGATATTGAATAACATCGATAGTTTCGGAGATCTGTACTTTTTAAACAAATGCGAAGCTAGCAAAGTGATGACTTAAGTTCCGCCTAATTTCATGTGAATTACAATATATTTCAATTTCATCAAAATCCCTAAACTGAGAGCTACAGGAAATGATCGATTTGTTGTGAAAGTACTCGATCGTTGAGGCATTCATTACTGAACGATGAAAGTAAATATTCAGGCATTATTTACTCCTTAATCGATTATTGGCAATCGTAAGTGGTATCAAAATCGAGATAAAATGATTTTTGTACTGAAATTAAATGTGTCCCCTCTGAATTGTTACAGATTTTTTATTGAACGAGTGTTGCATTAAAGGTTCTTTATCTTTCATTCGTAATTTGAAATTTTCATCCAAATTAGAAATTCGTCCATTATTAATTGGGAACAGAAAAATGATTTTTTTTTATTATTAGGATACAAAGTAGACAATTTTTCGAATAGAGTCAAAATTCTATGGTAAACTTATTTATAATAAAATGTAAAAAGTTTCTGTACATTATCGCTGAAACAACAAGTCCTTCATTATCATTATAAAATGTAAATTTCAAAAGTGTATAAAAGTGCACTGATGTACACAGCAAATACTGCCAATAAAAGAACTACATCGCATATTTTCGTTAATTTAAATACACATTTATTTAAATGCCAAAAATATTGAATACAAATAAAATTGAGATAATTCGAATTCATATCCTAATAATGAATATTTTAGTAGAAAATAAAATCGTTCTAATATCCCCAGGACTTTCCAAAATAATAGCCTCTGACACTTCAGAGGGAACAGGTTTAAGATTTGCAAGCGCTATTTACTATTAATTTACTCTTTTATGACAGCGAATGAAACATTTTCTTATGTTTCTTGCGTATTTATAACAATGTCTGTATACTTTATGACTGTAAGTGTTAATAATTTAAGCGTATTGTTAATGTCTGCATTTCGATGTCTCCGTTAGACCTCATTATTGTAGATGCTTTTAAACTTTCAGTGCGTAACATGAGAAAATTGTTTCTTATTATATAGTAATATGTACGTATTCTTATAAGTAAATGCAAATGAATTTGACTGTTTGTTGCCAGTGTCCTGAAAACATAATAGAAACATGATTCGTTATTAAAAAATCAACGGTAAATAATTTCACATTCCATGGTCAGTGTTTCTCGCACAGTGAGTTTTAAATCCCGAAATGGGTTAAATACTACCTGAAAAATACGAAACATGATAACAACTCTTTAATAATTGTATGAGTATATGAGTAGCTTACGACTATTAACGTGTATACAATCGATACGTGGAATGTACCTATAAAATATGATCGTGTCCATTAGAGTAACGTGATTGTCTTTCAATAGCCTTAAAATTTTAAACATGTGTATCATTTATTTCAAGTTGGACTGATGCCCGGATGATCAGTGGGGAAAAACTGTGCCTTCTATTTTACGTTCCTGTATTTAACCATATAAATAATAAGCCGGGGGATAAAATAGTTTCGAAATAAAGATTGCAAGATATTGATAGTTACTATTTAGAATGTTCTTTTAATTCAAATAAAGTAAGATACATCCATGCGTACATGCACATTGTACATTCATGCTCCAACTGTGGTAGTATTTTCAAGTCGGTTTTACAGTTTCATATAAAAAAATAATAATAATGTGATATAATTTGTTTCTTATATTTTTTTCTCTTTTAATTTTTTTTCTTTTTAAGTTCGATATTTATACGACTCCTCATTCTTTGATGCCTTTACATTTACAGATTGATCCCTGGAGATCATAATGTGTTAATGCGAAATCCATAATGGCCTACCTCCATTTAAACTACTACAAAGGCCAGTGTTAATAGCGCATAGTATATATATGTATACTCTTAGAGTGGAAATAAAGCCAATACATCTACCGATTTCATTTGTAAGAATACTTAAGATTGACTAGAATCAGGTATACAACAGGACAGCTTATTATACTGCACACAGATGATAGAAGAGAGACGTATAATATAAATCATAGAGCTTATAATGCTGATTGTGAGTTTCTTGGACTACAAAAGAAAAAAAAACAATACGATAAAGTTATCGTGTATCTATTTCTATTCACAGTAATCGTTTGTATTTACAACTCGCTAATATTTATATTCACATATGTCGTGGGATTGTCAGAAATATAAGCTCTCTATACAAAAAGAAAAGTACTTCAACTATATTTAACTTTAAATCGAGTGTGTGGTGTATTTCGCTGAAACAGTGTGATTCGTGGGAAAGCCACAGAGCTATATGATCAATGCATGAAATGCAAACAGTTACGAAACGTGAGAGTGAATTTAAGAATAAATAACATGTCTCGTTAATGATCTTACTGACATAACGTCTCCTTGAAAAAAAATATTCCACGATGATAAATTGCGTTTAAATTAACTTAAGAAACGCATTGCCCCGTATCACAAGATGATTATGAACTCCTATCGAATCTCTTACCGTTTAACAATGAAAAATGAAATGACTTAGAAACGAAAAATCGTATCATGAACATTTACAAGGATATCGATGCAATTAAAGTTTAAATCTCTAAGCATCTCAGTTACGTTACAATTTACAACTGGACAAGATTACGGTTTGGTATAGTGGCTTGTTGTCATTTACAATGTGATCATGTTCGATTTCACTCTTCTAAATTCTGCTATTGTCAACACAAAAATATATAGGTAGTGTGATATTGTTCTCTGCTAGGACCACTTGTATGTCTTGTAGTAGCGAAGCAGCAATTGTAATTTTTGATTTTCATATAATCAGCACTTTGATTCCTCTGCACTTTTGAATCATACTGAAAGCAGAAAAGTAATAGTCGCAAATAAATTCAAAACGTATGTATCACAATGAAACTACAAATGAACAAAATTTACAAACATACATAGATGGCATCATGACATGCACAATGACAGGTAGATGGAGTAAGCGATAAGTAACAAACAATTCTTTTAGGGTTTACAGCCTAACCGAAATGTATACACGAGTACTAGGCTAAGAACATATAATTAATCTACTATACTAGGGAGTATAACTATGATATATCACCACCAATATTTTTAAATGATTCTGACTGTTTAGTTAGTCTGAAATAAAACCAATTGCATGAGATAAAATGCAACTTGAGGAACATTAATGTAAAGTTTGTTATTAATCATATCGTTAGAGTTTATACAATTGATCTTGTCTTTCTACCTGAAACTTCGAACAATTTAAAAATATGGGTGATGGTATACAGTGGGTGTAGAAAGTATTCGTACACCGGTCAATTTCCAAAAAAGCTATGAAAAATTGTAATTTATTAACTTATTTTTTATAAACAATGACATTCTACATATTCTCGGAAATCTCTAGAATAGATAGATTACAAAAAAAATAGCTATTTATGTAAGTTACGAAATTAACAAGAAAAAAGAATTAATCGATAGAAACGTAGAAGCAATAAGTATTCGCACAACTGTTTAAAAGTACTTTACTGGAAACATGATGTTTTCTAATTCGTACGGAGCAATAAACTAATATGTTTACGTTACAAACTCTACTGTAAATGATTCGTCATAAGAATCGTACAAATACTTATTGCTTCTGTACTTTTACCCACTTTTCGCATTTTTTTGTTAATTTCACAAATTATATTAACTAGGAAATGTTATTTGGATTATATCTATCTTAGAGACTTCCGAGAATATGTAAAATATCATTGATTATAAAAAAAGAAGTTAAGAAACTACAATTTTACACAACAGTTTTTTGGGAAATTGATTGGTGTACGAATACATTCTACACCCACTGTATATCATCATCAATATTTTTAAATGATTCGGGCTGTTTATGTGGTCTGAAATAAAACCAATTGTATGAGACGAAAAGCAACATGAGGAACATTAACGTAAAGTTTGGTATTTGTCATATCATTTCAATTCATATAATTGATCTTGTCTTTCTACCTGAAAGTTCGAACGATTTAAAAATATGGATGGTGCTAAAGAGATCCCTTTGGGAGACGTGTTCGATTTTAGGCAGATTCAAAGAATTGCTTGTCGCATATATGGAAATGGTGATAGATGATTGTGGGTGATCTTGGTGAGGTTTTTAAGCCTTACATGAATCAGGATGTGGCTTCTCCTCGGCCACCATCAGGGCTGCACTCTCTGCTGGCGGTATGTGTCCCTCTAATGCATTCACACAGTTTAGCATGCTCCTGCAAAACATCACGCGACTTGTCCAAGTTTCCGCTTCTTCACACATGTCTATTGAATCTTTCCTTCTCTTTATTACATTCCAGATCTTCGTCGAGGGCATCGATTCAACATGCACCGACGTCGTAGGACCGTGAGAATATTTATACCGCGACTTATCAACGTTACGTATCCATTTCATTTTTTTCTTCTTTTTTTTTCTTTTATTAATTTATTTTATCCTAATTGACCTGGATTTGAATGTGATAATTTTGAGGACGTTGTACTTTGTTACAGTACACAATTACGATACTTTCTCTTCGCTATCCAGAAACATTATAACGCCCTTGCAAAGCTACCATTAGTCGAACTTTAATGTCACCCATTTTTTTGTTTTCCATGTTCTACTTTCGTGAAAATATTATTTGTTTCGCAAGGTTACATCTACAGTAACTTTTCGCTTATTATTGAAAATTTGCGTTAGGGATAAGTAGGAATCATTTTAAGCATTGTTTACGTTTATTTTGCTCGGGCAATCGACAGCTGGAGATTTAACGACTGGCCGAACTTCAAAGCGGTACTGGAACTTCGATATTTTGATGATGTATCCTCATTAAAATATTTTGTAAATTGACGACGTTCTTTCGATTATTCTAATTACATGTACATTTATTTTAAATAATAAATATAATATATGAATATATTTTGTCTTCTTTTCTTGATATGAAATCCATACGTGGTTCTCGTTCATTGATAAATTTGATTAAATATTCAGTTAAAATTGTAGTACTTTATAATTCCAACGATTTCTTTTTTTCTTTTCAGTATAATTTTCCATATTGAAAAGTAATTTGTATAAATTTTTAATATCGGTGTTGGTAAACTATTCCGTAGTATTAACCACTAAAGAGATTGGTTATTTTTAAAAATATTTTATACAAAAATATTCAGTATTTATTACGAGCTTTATATTATGTGACGTCACTACCTCTATGATGGAATAATTCTCAAGTTCTGTAACAGTAGAGTTAAAATTTGACGTTAAGTTATGAGTTAAAATAAAATATTTCTTCCATAGAAAAGTCGGTTAAATTCTAATTCTAAATAGTAAGATATAAAAAAGTTATTCACCAGTAATGTAATAGTAGAGTATCTACAGTAGATGTAGAAAGTATTCGTACACCGATCAATTTACAAAAAAACTGTGTAAAATTGTAATTTATTAACTTGTTTTTGATAAATAATGCCATTCTACATATTCTCGGAAATCTCTAGAATAGATAGATTATAAAAAAAATAGCTATTTATGTAAGTTGCGAAATTAACAAAAAAAAACAATTAATCCATAGAAATGTTGAAGCAATAAGTATTCGTACAACTGTTTCATGTTTAAAACTTGATTTAAAAGAAATTTACATTAATTTTTAAATGTATAATACTCCCTTCGAGGGATTTCCTTTTGATTTTATAATTATTGCAACTCTTGTAAGCGTTAAATTAACTAAATTATTAGTTTAGTTAGTTTATTATTAGTTATTCGATTAGTTATTAGAAGTGGGATCTTCTTTAATTCCTCTTTACTGGAAATTTTATGTTTTCCAATTCGTACGGAGCAATAAACTAACGTGTTTACGTTACAAACTCTATTGTAAATGATTCGTCATAAGAATCGTACAAATACTTATTGCTTCTATACTTTTACCCACTTTTCGCATTTTTTTGTTAATTTCACAAATTATATTAACTAGGAAATGTTATTTGGATTATATCTATCTTAGAGACTTCCGAGAATATGTAAAATATCATTGATTATAAAAAAAGAAATTAAGAAACTACAATTTTACACAACAGTTTTTTGGGAAATTGATCGGTGTACGAATACTTTCTACACCTACTGTATATAATCTAACCGAAATGTTGTATTAGTAAAGGTACGTCAAAAGTATTTTTACTCTAACTTGTCAATAAACGAAAACCATATTTTTCAGGCATGATACGAATAAATTATAATACAAAATATAGTTCCGAATGAGGTCTTCTTTAGTCTTATTTTCAACATAGAATAACTCCTGCGTTAATCACTATTACTTTCAAAATGATTAAATAATAATATAAAAAGTATTTCTTTCTTAAAAATTCTGCTAATCCACCATCAATTGTAAATAATTTAATTTAATTGGGAGAAGCGTCAATAAATTGCGTAGACTAAATATACAAATATGAAGCATTTTGTATTAGTATTGACACACCGATACGCGTTCGGCACCGCTTTGAAGCATCCTTCAGATAGAGTTACATTTTCTTTGATGCATTTCACTCATTTTCCATATCGTATTCCATTCACTGTCCTTTTCCAGTCGCCCCTTTAACTTTTATTAATTCGGAGAACAAATCCTCCACCGACCCTCGGTTTAAGATAACCTTTCATCCCAACTTCTTAACATTAAGCGAAAAATTACTGTAGATCGTTCTAGGCGCTCGTTTCGCGTGGATTTTTCTCAAGAAATGATAATTCATTTCACAGTTTCTAGCCTTGTAAGATTACAGTGGTTCACTGGCCTGTGTAGTAGATTTGAGACATGTACTTATCGCCTATGCACTTGTCAAACTTCAATAGTAATTACTGTTTATTCCGAATCGTACCGAACAGGAGTCCCCACCGACTCGTCTTTAATTATCGAAATCAAACGCAATTTAATTACGCTGCAAATATACTCTTAACAGACCTTTCCTGCAAGGGAAACGATAATTAGGTCACAAGCTCGATCGGAAATTAACGAAAAAAAATAAAATAAACAGAAGAAGATAAAGAATTCGATTGTCAAGGTCGCACGTACGAATGGAAGTGAAATGAAACCGGTAATTAAATAAACAAACAGATTTATTTTACAACATATAATATATGTATATATATTTATATACGTATGTATACGATGTTATCGGTGATGCCGAAATATTCGTTCATTAATATAATATACTAGTTAACGAGTATTCTAAAAATTGAGTCATAAACGCGTAATCAGTGATTACAATTTTTATCCTTAGAGCAGTTTCGTGCTACGTGTAATGCTATATCGTTTCCGATAACAATTATTGGATTAGATTGACTGGATACGAGAACTCTATAGTATTTAACGTTTTCTCATTTTCATTTTCAGTGAATGGCATTCGATATTCGGATTAAAATCGTTCTCGGTTAATTAATTCTTTTTTTTTTGTTTTTATTATTATGGTTTGTCAGTAGCGTGGGTATGGTTGGCAGTGGTGGCGTCAGATAGGACGGTCTCCTTGCTAGAGTTAGTGGCGAGCTCCTCTTCCCTGCAATATAATAATGTTACATGGCCATCGAGCCTCCAATCGATTGATGTGTCGATTTTTGAGAGAAATCCTAGTTTTGCGTCGTACGTAATAGTATAAGCTTTTACTCTAAGAAAAAACAAAAACGTACAATATGCATCCTACGTTGAGAACAAAAGGGGTCGTTCGTATGATTCCCAACTATAGAAATATTTCCTCCCAATTTTTTGTGAATCCTCGCTCTAAATCGTTACGCTGAACACAACTTAAACTCTGAACTGACTGTCGACAACTTCGAAGCGAGCTGCTCGCTTTATATTATAAGCGAGTCGACTATTTCAAGGAGTCTTTTTACTTTAAACATTTAAAAAAAAAAATGATTTCTTTTCAAAGATTTGGAAAATTTTTAATGTTGACGAAATTATAACAGTTTGAATGTAGTATTGCACGCATGAAAAATCGAGAAATTAGTATTAATGAATAATATTAATAGTTTGTTATTATTATCATACTTCGGATTATATGCAATTATGATGTACAATACTATGAGAAACATGAATATAATATATAGAATGTATGGTGAACATATTACATAAGTAGTATTTATTGTTATTTCATGGAACATAAGTGCACATACCTGTTGGTTATGTCTAGAATGTGCTTATTATATTAGTTTATATCATAAATGCATAAAATCCGCAATCTAGTCATTGTCGATATCTGAAGATGTTCAAAATTTAATGAGAGTAATGGATAATAAATAAAACTAATACATAATATATTAGTCGTGATAGTTACTCGATTAAATAATTAATTAATTATATAATAGAATGATTCTATAATTGAAATTCCAAATTTTATTTAACAAGTAATGCATAAACAGTTTCACTAATTCTTTTACTCGTTAATTGTCACTTTCATTTGTTTTCAAAATTTATATTTCAATGAAAAATTTGCCCATTTCTGCCAACGTCTAACTATTTTAATAATTTATTTAAAAAATCCATTTGTCTTTTTGGAGTCAGATTCACCCACCCTTTCGCCCGTGGAGATTCCATCAGAAAACATGTAGCTAGAAAAAAATCTAAAATTTTGTCAAATAGTGATTAAAATTACATGTAAAATTCAGAAAGCCTTCAGTTAGGAAATTTTTTAAATCTCGTCAAATAATGATTAAAATCAGATGTAAAATTTGAGCAATCTTCAAGCTTATATTTCATGTAAAAAAATTCTCAATTCTCAATTCTTGTTTCTTTCATTTTTCAAAATGCTAAAGTGAGAAGACTCCTTAAATTTTTCTTCGACAGAGACGCGAGGGAAAAATATCAATCTGCAGTGGGTGTATAAAGTATTTGTACGCCGATCAATTTCCAAAAAAACTATGTAAAATTGTAATTTATTAACTTATTTTTTATAAACAATGACATTCTACATATTCTCGGAAATCTCTAGAATAGATAGATTACAAAAAAAATAGCTATTTATGTAAGTTACGAAATTAACAAGAAAAAAGAATTAATCGATAGGAACGTAGAAGCAATAAGTATTCGCACAACTGTTTCATGTTTAAAACTTGATTTAAAAGAAATTTACATTAATTTACAAGTATATAATACTTCCTTCGTGGGATTTCCTTTTGATTTTATAATTATTGTAACTCTTCGAAGCATTAAATTAACTAAATTATTAGTTATTCGAAGTGGGATCTTCAATTCCGCTACTAGAGCCATTTTTAAAAGTACTTTACTGGAAATTTTATGTTTTCCAATTCGTACGGAGCAATAAACTAATATGTTCACGTTACAAACTCTACTGTAAATGGTTCGTCATAAGAATCGTACAAATACTTATTGCTTCTATACTTTTACCCACTTTTCGCATTTTTTTGTTAATTTCACAAATTATATTAACTAGGAAATGTTATTTGGACCATATCTATCTTAGAGACTTCCGAGAATATGTAAAATATCATTGATTACAAAAAAGAAGTTAAGAAACTACAATATCACACAACAGTTTTTTGGGAAATTGATCGGTGTACGAATACATTCTACACCCACTGTATGTCGTGTTGGAGGAATAGTTTGAGTGTTACCGATTCCCAATGCCCATCAAGCCAGTTTCGTTCGAACTTCGAGACCGACTTTTATCAATTCGAATCATTAATGTGTATAATACTTCGATTAATTATTCAATTCTTCCTGCATACACAGCTTGTCCAAAATGCTTCAACACAAGTAAACAACGTTTTCTATTGAACAAGCTGCATGGTTGCCGCGAGGGGAAGAAGAATCGATGAGTAATAATCTAATAATCGTAAAGGAATGTTGTGAAACTTCTGAAACGGTATTGGCTTTCGATTTTTTCATAACGGCTTGCCGAAGCTATTTATGATTATAAATATAAATATGCATATATTGATGGTCACATAGATGCATTTTACTGACACGTAAGAGTCAAACATACACAGTCATAAATTTATAAACAGTACTCATTCGATCATAAAGACAAGGAGAAAATGGCTCTTATTACTAATTCTATGTCGTTTATTCAACTAGCGTACGGCCGTTATTAAAACGAATATATAAATTCAATCAAGTTCCGCTAAACCAGAAGCAACGAATAGACCGACTATCGATTGGAATCCATTCATAAATAGAAGCTGATAACGATTCGTCGAATGTTTCGGCAAAACCTTATTCCAGCAGAATCAATAATAAAGAAACATAGAAAAAAAAAGAATCAGGAGTAGAAAAGAAACAAAGGCGTAGCTTGCGAGTTTATCAAGAGCTGCACGATCAAACGAGGAACGTGGACGCAAAGTTGCTTCCATGCTCCGTTTTAATCTCTCATCTTTTTTTTTTTTTAATCTTTTCATTCATTTTTCTATCTCATATTTTCTTTTCCTTTTCTCTCTCTCTCTTTGTTTTTTTCTTTTAGTTTTACGCGAATGATGGTAGAAGATTATGCAAAGCGGCTCTTTCTGCGTTTGCCTATCGAATAAAGTATCTATTACGTTTGTATACAACTTAGAAATGGTTCGTACGCCAAACAGTAATGTAAGCACTAACATGCAGTCGCATAGTACAGCGCCATAAACTCGTGCCAACTATAATCGACATGAAAATTATTCCAAGACTGAATATATCTGTCGTCGAACATTTATCGGGTATTGGTAGACTAAGAGGAGCATGCTGTAAAATACAAGGCTCCAGGAGGGTAATCGAGTAGTAGTCGGGGCTGTTATGTAGGAAATCTTACCAACAGGTCACAGGAATTGCACTTTTCTTCTTTTTCTTTCTTTCTTTTTTCTTTTGTTTTCTTTACTCGAGTTTGCTAAAAGCATTGGTATCGATCACATAATAGCCCTGAAGAACTATTATAGAAACTGTGAAATGTATCTTCGCAAAAGAAAAACGAAATAAATTACAATTTATCGTAACGAGTCATTCATGCAACTATGGATATATCTTCGCCTTCTTTACGATTAAGTTAGCCTGACTGAATAGCGCATGAGATGGCGACTCGCACGAGCCGATAGTAAGTAAAGATGTTTCAACATGCCAGGCTGTTAGTACCGAGATGTTATGGTAGTCACTTAAATAGGCAGGGACAGGATTATTTTTTTACACGGTTGCGAAGCAATACTCCCGATGTCGAGACTCGCCTCGAGTTTAATGCGCATACAATCTCACCTTCGAAATTAACATCGCAATTTTGTCATTTCACTACATCGAATGGCTCAGTCATTTCGGGATCGATTATGAAGATACTCTATCAAACTGATTTCTTGTGTAACTTTATTTAGTCGTGACAAATAATGTACAATCTATTTGTTACTGTTACACGTATCTCGTAGATTTGTCGAAAACTATCGTGTTTACTGCAGAAATAGTCATTACGAAGAATAGAAATGAAGAAATTTTCTATAAAAAGGGTGTAATATGCTGTTGTCGCACAGTTAAGGATTTACTCGTTCGCGTCGAGCACAAGTTTGAATCTTCAACTTTAATCTATATTATCCCCTAATCACCTCCCTACATTCTTTTATTCATTTTAATAATAATTCATATAAAAAATAACGAATCAGGTAGGAATGTATAGATCGCGAACGAGACTGTGAAAACTTCCATGATTAACCAATTGTATTTGACAAGACACTCTGTTTGTTGCTATCTGTTTGTATTCTCACAAAAAAAATTGTTCATTGACAGGCTCAGTGTCTTTTCCTGTAAACACGTAACAATATAGTACAAAACTACTAGATCACGCGTACTCAAACGCTTAAAATGGCCGCTGTGACGAATCACAAGGGGCGGATTTTAAATTCTTCCAAACTTGATTTCAAAGTCTTGTTACGTGTAAACCATCGCCTATACGAAAAATTTATATATCACCTTTTCTGTAGAAAATTTCTCTACGTTTATTTTTTATAATAACTATTTTTACAATGAACCCAATATTTGTTGAGATATCTACGAAAAACAGTTCGTATGATAACTATAAACCATTTAACACATTATCTGTAACGGCTCGATAATATGCGAAAAAATTCAACTTGACAAAGATATTTTCACAATGTCACGTGTCTTTTTAGTCCAGAGTGACTGAAGCGAATTAAAAGCAGCTGGAATTGCTAAAAAATAATCCTTTCTTTAAAGACGACTAGTGGTGTCTTTGGTAACTGATTCTCATGCAGTAAAAGGTAAGTCTTATAAATCGATATAGGTATCGTAACAAAGCCACCACAGTAACAGGGGGAATGTATTGTCAAGACTCACCCATAGAGTCTGCTGTCCCGCAAGCTGCTCCTGCTCCAAATAACACAGAAAGCACAATTACGATATGTACGATTATGAACAGAATTTGTCGTCGTGTAAATAGTACGGAAGTTAACTTAAAGGATTACCAGAACCATTAAATAACGATTTATTGAAATAATACATATACAATATGCTAAACAAATAAATATAATAATATCCATTTGGCCTTGAAGAAATACGTAACAATAAGACTATGAAGCTTCAAGCTCAGCACGTTTTACAAATGAATATATATATATATAACCATAATACTTATGAAAATGTAAAATAAATCACAAGGTGAAGGTAAAACAAACGAATCGTAGTTTCGGCAAGTCGATGCATTGAATTTCATTGCCCATCGCTTCGATTTCACTTTCAATATATTTCCTTTGTTGCATTATCGAACAGTGGAAAAGACAATACCAATGTTGTAATAAACGTTATTGTGGAACTCACGAATCTACGAGAACGATGTTGTACCTTCTTCATTGTTACAAGAAAGACTGTTCGGTGTAACGTAAATGCCGAGGATAGTCGACAATACTACGACAGTATGAACAATAAAACTGTTGCTATACAACCATGCAACAATCATCGTGTACGTTTCATGGTATCGTATACATATAATCTCAAAATTGTTGCAGCTGATATTCTCACTACGTTAACGGATGTTGTCTGCACGAATCTCGAAAAACTCTACATGCACTGTTCATAATCGTGTGCTTCCGAATATGTTAATCTCGAAGTTTAGCCTGCAAAGCAACGACGCTCCTCGTGATCGAACCCTGACACGCGAGAATTAATTTTGGAAACGTCATTCTACTTCTTCTAGATACAATCGTAGAGTGGAAGTACCAAGGGGGTGTCAACATTGAAAGACATTGAGATTTTTCAATAATTAATTTCATTGCTAGCAATAGTGTTATTTCTAGGAATGGAATGATTATAGCTGAAGTAATAATCATTTTCAAGTATATTTTCTAGACTGGTGATCACTTAAAAGTAATAATTTTGTTGATAGTAAAGACAAAACATCCCTTCTTATTTTTTATTTTCCTTAAATTTATAGAAGTCTTTGCTTTGACAAAACTTACTTTCTCAATGCATTGCAAAACATGATACTTTATTTGTTATAAATTTTTGTATATATTTAAGTACTAAATTCGAATTGTGAGATTTTTATGACACTAAAATAAAGAGTCGAGACGTAATAAACTTTGCTTGTGCGAGACTGAGAGTTCATCAATAATGTACAGTGGGTGCAGAATGTATTCGTACACCGATCAATTTCCCAAAAAACTGTTGTGTGATATTGTAGTTTCTTAACTTCTTTTTGTACAATTAATGATATTTTACATATTCTCGGAAGTCTCTAAGATAGATATAGTCCAAACAACATTTACTAGTTAATATAATTTGTGAAATTAACAAAAAAATGCGAAAAGTGGGTAAAATTATAGAAGCAATAAGTATTTATACGATTCTTATGACGAACCATTTACAATAGAGTTTGTAACGTAAACACGTTAGTTTATTGCTCCGTACGAATTGGAAAACATAAAGTTTCCAGTAAAGCACTTTTAAACAGTTGTCCGAATAATTGCTTTAACATTTCTATCGATTAATTGTTTTTTTTTTTTTTTTTTGTTAATTTTGCAACTTACATAAATAGCTATTTTTTTTGTAATCTATCTATTCTAGAGATTTCCGAGAATATGTAGAATGTCATTGTTTATAAAAAATAAGTTAATAAATTACAATTTTACACAGTTTTTTTGGAAATTGATCGGTGTTCGAATACTTTCTACACTCACTGTATTTAACGGTTAATCAATTATTATTAAGTGGTGTATGAAACTTTAACAATCCAACTCAGAAAAGAACTAATAATTCACCGATGCAGCACCAAAAAAATTATTAATTTAGTAACAGTCACTTGTTAGGGATTAAGGATTATCTGTTTTCTTCAGAAAGAGGCTAGCAAGTACCTAAGTGCGTTTTGAATAATTAAACTATACAATCTGTCTCACAAGAGCTATTTCCCATTCTATGGCCTGAAAGCTACATCAGCTAAAATGAAAATAGAATCAACTTGTTTGTTTTAAATTTTTAAGTGATTTAAAAAATGTGGAGATAATATACTTATAACTTAATAACTGAATATGTGCAGCATCATTGAAATAACAAGGTTTTGTTACTTAACCGATTCAGACCTGAATTATTTTCTTTTCTCGTACTAATGTAATTTAATTTTTAGGGTTAACTTGGACTGAACTTAGTATGGAAAAAATAAAAAAAAAAATCCCAATAGTGTAGTTTTCGTGGAAAACTGGTCTTTCTTTCCAATTCTTCCTCAATCGTGGACGCCAGGTCTGAAAGGGTTAAAGACCATTGGAAAAAAATGGCTTGATTCATCAGAACTAATTGAAACGAGTAATTTAGAAACTTTCTTCGTCATTGAAAACAACAAATAAAGTCTGAAAATATTCTTTTTCCAAAAATTTTCTTTTATTCATCGCTTCCACTAACTTCCATTTCCTACGTTTCTAACAAATAATTCTTAAACTAAATTCCTTTTTATCGATCAGGAGAAACTAAACTATCAATGATCGAACTACAGACCGAACCATTCTAATAAACTTCATGCTTGGAGGACCATGAACGACTTCATTTAAATATAACTGAAGCTATAATTTTCAGAATAGAAAAAGAGTAGTCCTCTACGGTTAAAGTGAGTAAAAACAAAGACTGGAAGTCCATTTCTATTTTAATAAGGCATACAAGACTTTTTGACATACAAGTTGTATGGTCAAAATTGCCAATCAAGAATAAAACAAAATAATATAAAAAAGGGGTTAACATCAATGATGTTTCAGAAGGAAGAATTGTAACACGGGACCTTTAAGCTATTTACAGTAATTGTGAAAAATAATGTCGTTTAGGCGTATTTTGTTAAATACAACAACAATTTCTACACCTAATAATAATAGCTCTCATAAAACGTTATGCTTTCATAACGAGAAAACTATTTGACGCTCAGCCCCTTCGGTACTTCCGCTTTATTATCGACCACGCCTATGCAGTTACAATCGTTCGAGTCGATTAGCACTGCTTCGAAGTGTCCAACCCTCCAGAATTCGAATTTGTAGTTTATCACAGTTGAATTCGTATCCGCCTCGGTTAAGCAGCGAATACGTACGATTGCGTGGCGTAAGTGTGCCCTACTAAACTGATAGCGTGTCCACTTTTGTCAAACGGGTTAAACGCAATTTGCTATCATTGCCTCGACTAAGTGATACATAAAATGTTGCTTTAAAGATTGTGCTGCGATATATGCTCAATATAATATAAAATTCACAGTATCGTTGCCGTAATTGTTTGCTCGATACGAAGTCGTTACAGTATTTCCTTCTCAATAGTGTTCGATAGCGTATTGTACCGGTGCAATATCATATTTGCGTGATTCGATGTTGTTCGAGAGATAATTACCGCACTCGTGTCTCTTTGTTTTTATTTCAATCCCTCCAATGAGTAATCTCGTGAGCTAGGCTACTTTTAATTGTACATAATTAATTACGTATTTTGCGCACGATAAACGTCCATAGAGATTCATCGATAGTCTAATGAGTATAAACGTGCACTTCTCTTATCCCCTAGCCTCCTGTTTCTTCGTAAGTGTAAGCTACGATGTACCTTTTCTTCCCATCCGAATCGAATGTTTAAACTATTGCGCACAATTTTAAGCCTCGCCGCTAAAGTGTGGACGGGCGTGGACGGATACGACAACGGCGTGTCATGCATCGAATGCGCATGATACGATCTTTGTACGCGAGGAAATCGTAATGCTCTCGTTACGCGTTATTAACATCGGACGATTTTCACAAAAGGATAGTTACAGAGTTTCTTTGCTTGTATCCTCGCGCCGTAATTAACAAAGGAAAATCAAATTAAAACAAACAAGCTTGTTTCTGCGTTTAAGAAATTCGCACAGCACACTAACAGCCAGAGTAAAATTCATTTCTCGAGGGTGAAATTAATGATTAATACACAGCCAATGTCATATAAGAGAATGTTAAACTTATTTCATTTTTAACTCGCAAATGACGGATATTTTCAGCAATCTTTACTATCATACGAACATGTATAATTACTTATGAGAGATACTTTATATATTCGTAATATTTCCTCACATTGTGGCTGTGTGTAATGTTCATTGAGTTCGTGAAATGTGAACAAATCCAGTTAGAATGTAAAATTGGTTAAAATGAGAATATCTTCGATAAAGAAGTCAGATAAAATTATTGAAAAATAAACATAATACATTTCTGGCTACTGCTCAACGTTTAAGTATTTTTAGAACTGCACTTGTACAAGCTATAAGATTCATGTCTGCCACATGAAAAAGATGGATAAAGGAGAAGACCGACAAGTTTAGAAGCATAGAACAATATTCCAGTAGAATTTTGTCTTCGTCTAATAGAATCGATGCACTTCGTTAAGAAAATCTAATTCATCCAAAGAAAAATCAAGACTGTGGATCAACAATAAAATACAGTGGGTGTAGAATGTATTTGAACACCGATCAATTTCCCAAAATCTTTTGTGTGAGATTGTAGTTTCTTAACTTCTTTTTTGTAATCAATGATATTTTACATATTCTCGGAAGTCTCTAAGATAGATATGGTCCAAACAACATTTACTAGTTAATATAATTTGTGAAATTAACAAAAAAATGCGAAAAGTGGGTAAAAGTACAGAAGCAATAAGTATTTGTACGATTCTTATGACGAGCCATTTACAGTAGAGTTTGTAACGTAAACACATTAGTTTATTGCTCCGTACGAATTAGAAAACATCATGTTTCCAGTAAAGTACTTTTAAACAGCTGTGCGAATATTTATTGCTTCCACATTTCTATCGATTAATTGTTTTTTTCTTGCTAATATCGCAACTTACATAAATAGCTATTTTTTTGTTATCTATCTATTCTAGAGATTTCCGAGAATATGTAGAATGTCATTGTTTATAAAAAATAAGTTAATAAATTACAATTTTACATAGTTATTTTGGAAATTGATCGGTGTACGACTACTTCTGTACACCCACTGTATGTGTCAGACTGTTCAGAAAATAAAACATACTTTCATTTAAGTTTCAGATAAACATCCAGTCTAGTTACTAATTATACTTTACTTATTTTTCACGTTCTAGTACCAAAATTGTCATACTTTGTTATCATCAATTACAAAACTGGATTTTAAATAGTTGTCCACATTAATATTTATATCAATAATTTAAAATACCTGTTATTTACGAGTCAAATGTAAAATTAATTCAATACACTCTTACTTAATACTTAACAGTAATTATTAATTTCGCATGTGAGAATCAATTTTAGCTAAAGTCAGTCGACTTCGTTGTCAAATCATCAAACAGTTCTAAGTAGCTGGCCGCCATTGTACGTTTAAGAAAGATCGATGGAAATCAGCAGAAAAGAAAGGGATTCCAAACTGAAGATTATCTATCTAATGATTTGCTATACGTATTAGGGATGGTATTAAGTGGCTTGTTTATTGCATACCTGTCGTTACCATGCCTGAATAAAGCTAGAATTTCTTCGAATGTTTTATTCTTGGTCTCAGGAACCTTCTTGTACGTGAAGATCCAGAAGATGGCTAGGAATGCACTGAATGGTAGGAACGTGTAGTTTTCAAGGCTAGTCTGTAACAGTCGAAGGCAGACTGAGGTTAACGTAGAGTTAGATGAGAAAAAGAAACAAATATTCGTCAAATCGTCTTCATGTTAATATAGTAAAATATTAGCAACAAAGTTCAACGATCACTTTATAATCGTCTGAGAAACACCAAATTCTCACGTGACTTTCACTCTGTACTTTTATAGGAAAGGAGGATGCTGAAGTTTATGGCTTCAGTTTTCAAATCCTAATGAGAAATCTCACTGATAATGCTTTTCAAAAAATTGTGGCACTACTTTAAAGCCGATCACGTTAAATCGTTTAAAATCCCTCAATTCTGAGTTCATACATAGAAGTTAAATATATCATTGAAGCATTAAAATTCAGAGTCTAACTTTTAATCCTGTTTTCTTCGAAACTACGATTTCTTTTGCAAAGTTATAACAATTGTAACACATTTATTCGTCGCCACTATCATGTGTTTAAAATTTATATCTCATTTTGTTGTAAAACAAAATGATAAGCTTCGATAAGAAGAAGACAAAATTAGAGGCCATTCGAAAGTTTCACAAGTTGGTGAAAATTGAGAACAAAAATTAGTTAAATTCTGTGCATGATTTTAACCTTGAGATGTTCTAACGATCAATTTGGAAATGGTACGATCGTTTTGAGAAACATCCACGAGGAAATCACTCGATATGAAAACTGAAGTTTAAGCTTTAAAATGTACAATTATTTTCTCAGAATGGATCAAGATGAATCGCTTCAAGTTCCGTCTATATTATAAGCAATTTAATTAACGACGTTTCGAATTTATGTATAGAGTTTCTTTCGATTCTAACTGAGACCTTCCAAACTTCTCGTTTTTATAGAAATATCTATAATAACATTATGGCTGTACTTGTGATAATATTTTCAGTTTATTTGCGTTATTGGTTTCGCAGTCCTCGAGGACCACTCGATGGGAGTAATCGAAACGTCGTTAATTAAATTTCTCGCAATAGAAATTAAAGTGGTTTTCATTTAATTTTTCACGAACAATATTTCATCGTTGATTTATTTTTTACAAAATCACAGAACTTTGAAGTTCGCTTTCCCAGGCAGTTATAAAGCGATCGTTTAATTTTCTCGCAGAGTGTACGTTCTGATAACTAAAACTACTAAAACACTAAAACTTCATAGATTAAGGGACAAATATAGAGAAAGTGATGCGGGCAATGTTTGACCTTCAAAATGTAGGTGGAACTTCCACTTTTTCACCAAAATCTAGTTCAGCTCCTAGATTCAAATGTTTTTTATAATTTGCCACACATGATTTCTTATAGATTTTGACATGCCGAATTCAATTTTGGCTGCGAAATTTGTCTAGCATTTGAGTCTAGTAGTTGAGAAAAAAGGTATTTAAACGAAAAAATCGTATAACATTGTGTTTTTTTCGCTCAAATATCTTAATAATACTAATATAAATAATTATTTACATAGAATATCAAATACCAAAATATAAATAAAGTAACATGTTAATCCTAAATAATGCTGTACGATAGTAATAGTGTCCTAGGTTTAAATCTCGGCATCGTTCAACGCACAATCTTTCTAAATATACATTTTTCCATATTTATGGTCAACTTATTTATGCTTACTTGATTATCATATATATTTATATAGATATCAATATTTGAAAATGATGAATAATGTATTAGCTTTCTTTACAATTTTAAAATTTCATTAAGGATTTTGTTATATTTCTAAGCAAGTCTAAAGGCTGGTTTTAGTCTCATTGGCAAAGGGAGATTATTTTGAGTAAATAAACGTGTGTGTAAAAACTTTACTTGTACTTTTTTCTTTTTATAGCAAAAGTTTGGTTTCTTTTAAGACAGACCGTGTATCTCTAACTATACATCGGAAATAACGTTATCAATGCAATCAAACTATAAAATTTTTACTCCTCTTGTTGAGGGATTCTGTAGTTGAATAAGTTCTTATCAAATTTTTGTTCTGTTTATTACTGACAGTAATTATAATTATGAAAAACTAAACGTTAAAAAGAAAATTGACAATATTTTGCAATAATTCATGGCTCAAAAGGCTATAAACTTATCCCTTGAGTAATTGCAATCAATCTCATGAGAGAATGAAGCTAGCAGAAAAATGTTTTCACAATTGTAGTGTCCCCGCTTCCCATACCCAAGAATAAGGAGTCAAATGAGAATACGAAACTTAGAGTACGGGATTGGTCGTGTAGATAAATCGGTCGACTGTGGATCCAAGGATCGTAAGTTCGAATCTTCTGTCTTACTTTTCGTTTAGACTCCTACACGAAACATGTCTACTGTTGCGTAAAAAAACATTGACATTATACGATAATCTGTTATGTGAAATGAAAACTCTTAAAGAAAAACATTTTCAACAGCGCGAATATGGATGCTCGACGTTCTCTTACCTTCATACTTGGGAAACCAATGCCAACCAAAAAATTAGCCATCCAATTGACGAGTACCGCGATAGACATGGCGGCAGGTCTAGGACCCTGCGAGAACAGCTCAGCCGTAATCATCCAAGGTATGGAACCAGGCCCAACAGCAAAGAATACTACGAACAAGAGCGTCGACACGACCGACAGATACGACATCCAGTCAATCATTTCCTGCACATAACCGAAAAACTCCTATCAGGCAGTAGAATCGTGTTCTTCTTTCCTGAGCAGCCGGAGGAGTCAGTCTCAGGATTTAAAAAAACAAAAAAACAAAAAAAAACAAATGAATATCGTAAGATCTAACAAATAAGTGAACTCAATGTTAAACTGATAATACAGCATGCAAGTGTGCAGCTCAACCCTGTGTCAAGGCGATGATGCGATTGCGACAATGCGAACGTGCTCTGTTTTATGTACAGTCAACATCATGTTTTATTTTCTCATAAAGCTGATCAAGCATGACTGGCTATTTGAACGCAAGGAGTAACCAGGACACGTTGCTTAGACCTCAAATCAGATTGAACGCAAAACGAACATTAGGTAAAACGCGACAGACACAAAACGCTTTTACACCTTTGCATAGAAAAGGGTACAAATGTATTGTCGTGCGTTAGCATTGATAAACGACACGAGGAGTGAAAAAGTCGTTGGCTCTCGTGGCATCTCTGAGCAGTTGGTGTCTTTCGTTTCGAACGATTCAAGGATCGCGACTAATCGTACGTATCAAGAAAGTTGACTTTAACGCGAGAAAAGCAGCAACGTTGTACATTCGGGCTCATTAACGTGAATGCGAGAGTTTCTATTCCACGGAAGAATCGAAATTTGGTTTCGCGGTTCCCGACCCATTAAACGTGACAAAGGGTGACAGGTTTGAGCCAAGATAGAATGTAGACTAATAACAAAAGGGAGTAAATGTCTCCTCCAGGCAGTCACGAAAGAGGCCGTTAATGAAAAAGGGAGGGGAAGGGGCGGGGATGGGAAGGGGTTAATAAGAAGCACAATTATTAAGCCTAAGCAAATTAATGGGACTGCATGCATCGTAGCTAGTTGACACACATGTGTAATTAATTTTGAATTTTTGAATTTCTGAATTTTCAAATGACCATAGTATATTTTTGTTTGTTATTGATTTTAAGTCTGTTCCGAGGAGCTATCCGTTTTACATAAATTCTGGAAGCTGTCAACATAAGGCGTTCCTAAAGTAACGTATTCATCTGTAAAGTAATATAATGTATAGAACACGAAACTGGACAGCTAGCAACACGTAGAGCTTTCTCTTTTCTAACATCAAATTAGTTAATCTACTAAGAAGATTTAAAAAATTGAAAATCTTTCTAAGAAATTGTATCAACACAAATGACACAATTCTGTGAGATGTTTATTTGTATAGTGAGCATCGAATATTGAGTGAGATAGCCCCATGTGTTATCAATTTGGCCAACTTTATAAAAGATTTTGCAAAAAGGGATTTTTGAATAATATTATTATCGGTACTTGGATACAGTTTCTACGAGAATAAACTATTTCAAATCTATTAAGGAAGCTCTGTTTAAAATATATTTAATACTGTTTACCAAATGTTAGTAAAGTGACAAAATTTCATATAATACAGGGTGTTAAAAAAAATGCATTCAATATTTATTTGATGTGTAGGGCACACTGTACCGAGTAAAAAAGCCTTAGTAAACGTAGGTCCAAAGGTCAACCGTTTCTGAGATATAAACATTTTTGTTTGCTAGTATCATGATTAACTTACTTGCTTCCATCGCATGCGATGTTTATGTCAGTATTTATAAATTGCGTTCTGAATGTTCCCATTCAAGTGCCGACAATTTCGTCAATTTAATTTTTTCAATTTCGTGTACAGAAATGAGCGGTGGACGCGTGGAAAATCTTCTATAAATATCGAAAACCCAGTAATAAGTCAATTATGATACTAGCAAACAAAAATGTTTATATCTCAGAAACGGTTGACCATTGGACCTATGTTCACTAAAGCTTTTTTACTGAGTACAATGTGCTCTATACACCATATAAATATTGAATGCTTTTTTTGAAAACCACGTATATTCAATCATACTTGTTTATGACCAAGAAAACTTATACTGACATCTTTCAGAATTTACGGAGAATTTATCCTTGAAGAAAGTAAGAAATTAACAACAAATTTTATGTAGTGGTATATAGCAATATGTATCTTTTATATTATTATACATAATCACGCCAACAAAAATCACTTCTTACTACTGCAACATTTTTAAAAAAGATGTACAAGCTAGGTTTATAAAGTATTCTGTATTGAAAATATAATTCATGGCCCTCGTTATTAATACACAATACTTCGTGCACCTGTGTTACATCCGGCCCTGCCGGTGTCCCTTTTCATCGACCTCGCATTGCGAATAGTTAAGATAACAAAATTGGTGTCAGAAGTGGGATACGTCTTCCTTGCTAACGAAGCGAGTTTTCCTTAGCACGAAACTTATCTGTATTCAGTTTCTAAATTTAGGAAATTTAAACGAGTTTTAGATTACATTATCATAAATAATTATCGTCACAATGACAACTCCGGAGATAAGACCACCTCCCCTACCCACTTCAACCCCGCCGATAGGACAGTCCTATGCAGGACGGTCAAGGGAATTTGAAACGACCGCGAGTGAGATTTATAGACAACGCGAGGACGAAAATAGAGTATATCGCGCTATTGACGCAGTTTCATACTTTGAACCGGGAGTTACGTCGTTAGAAAAAATTATGGGAGACGTGCAAAGGGTCGCAAGTAGAATTCCGCCCGGGTATGAACAAATGTTTTTCGATGTATTAAAATACAATCTAGCCGATCCAGTTCGGGATTATGTTGAAAGGAATTACGTCAATAATACTACAAACCTTTTGCTCCTTTTGAAAAAGCGCTACGCTCCACGTCGGGGATATGAAGAACTCAAATTAGAAATTGAGAGACTGAGCATGTTGTCTCATGAAACGGTGATAGATTTCGTTCATAGAGTTAGTCGTTTAGTAAAATACGCAAAAAATAGTGCCGAAGATTTGTTTAAAGAAAACGCGCCCCACCATATACGAGAGATCGAACAAATAGGTCGAACTGCGTTTATTTTAGGATTACCACAAAGAATATCCGCTAGGGTATGGATAGTCAATCCAGAAACGTTAGACGAGGCATTTGATCTGGCGTTAGAGCATGAAAGACGCGACCGAATTGTACCTACTGCATCAAAGAACGAGACATACGCGTATGGGCTTCCGGCACGTCCCCCGTCACCCTACGACAATCCTAAGAGAAAGATGGAATGGCGCGAACCTCGCGATGAAACAGAGTACGAATATCCGAGAAACGTGTACCCCGCATACACTAGATCGCGTTATAATTCTTCGCTACGTAGGGAAGATAGTAGAAACAGAGGAAACAATAGAGACAATTACGATTATTACGATTATTACGAACCTGAGAACCGATATCCACGTCCCCGTCCTGTGTCACCCTACAACAACCGACGCCTATGGTCGGAAGAGCCAACCGAGCGACGCGAGTCATACGAACCGACACGCTATCAAGGCCGCACGCGCCAACGACGTGTCGCTCCAGTGAAGAGATACGAGCGAAATTTTTCTCCACCAAGGCAAGGAAGGAGTTCGTCGCGAAACCAAACGCCACCGAGACGTACGCAACACTATGATGAATCGCAACAAGATAGGGAACCGCGCCAACAACACAGAGAAAATCGGAGTCAGACGAAACATTTAAACTCCTACGGCGCCCGCTCACGCAACGACAACAGAGCGGGCGCAGACCGCGCGACCTCCTCAAATTCGAGGACGGTAACCTTCAAGAACGAGACCCCGAGGACTCTCTCCGAGAGGCACCCGCCCCGCGAATTCGCGTCAAAGCGAAGGAGTTGGGGGCAGGAGAAGGCGAATTCTTAATTGATACGGGAGCCGTATTAAGCATAGTAGAATTAGACGCAGTTCACCCTGACGCACCCGTCGTTAATCGCGACCGGTTCGAAATAGAAGGATTAAAGGGAAAAATTCATATTGAGGGCGCCACTTGTATGAAAATTAACGGTAGCTGGGCGCTATTTTATGTTGTTAAAAATTCAAATTTACCTCCAGGAATATCAGGCCTAATAGGTAGTTCGTATCTCCTACAAGAACAGGCCTCTGTATCGTATTTTCATCGCTCGTTAGTAACGACTACTCGCCCGATACACCCGATACGATTCTCTAATTCAGCCGCAATGAACGATGCTCTTCGATCGTGCGAAAGGGGACGAGAAACCTTGCAGGCTTTCCTCGCTGAACATCCAGAATTAGAAAACGAGTCTGAGGAAAATTTGGAACAAGCACCTCCACCGCGTCCTCTCACACCGCTTTTAGAGGAACAGCTCGCTGAACACGAAGCATATGATTTGGGAGAATATAAAATCAGCTACCCTTCCCCTGACGAACGATTAGATAATATCATGGACAAACTGAAAATAGATCATTTAGACAACGCGGCACACAATCTGGTAATAAAGGCAGTAGAGGAATTTTCCGACAGATTTTTCGTTCCCGGTGATCCATTCGAAAAAACTGAGACAGCAACGCATTCGATCCCTACAACTGATTCCGTCCCTGTATATACACGGCAATACTCATGCACACCGTTTTAAGAAGAAGAAATTAAAAAACAAATTAGCAATCTTGAAAATTTAGGAATAATCGTTCCATCAAAATCTCCTTATAATTCTCCGCTTTGGGTAGTGCCGAAGAAAGCTGACTCCGCGGGAAATAAACGCTGGCGTATGGTAGTTGACTTTCGCAAATTAAACGCAAAGACAATAGAAGACAAATTTCCCATTCCACGCATTTCTGATATATTGGATCGATTAGGAAAAGCTCGATATTTTTCGGTATTTGACTTGGCAAACGGATTTCATCAGATTCCAATGGCACCAGAAGATCAAGGAAAAACGCCATTTTCCACACCAGACGGACACTATGAATATGTTCGCATGCCGTTCGGATTGAAAAACGCCCCAGCAACATTCCAAAGGTTAATGAATCAGGCATTACGAGGGTTAATTGGAAAGGAATTGTACCTCCATTTTCTCATCGATACTGTTCAAGAAATCTATCTCTTCCTTAGAGAAGTCCGGACTAAGCCAAATCGGATCGCAGGTTTGAGTTCTTTCGTCTTCGTCGCTCTCGTTTCCGAATTCCTCTAGCCGCGTTGCGTTTATACCCATTAAGTTCTTTAATTGAAGACGAAGATCCCAAGAAAGAGTCACAGATAAGCTGGGACGTAACACCTGTTTTGCATACGTCTCATATTATCAAACAATTCGAAAGCACGATATCGATTTGAACAAGAATTGTTCGTTGTATGTCAACATGCCAGGTGCTCTCTTAATCTCAGAAACGCAAATGAGGAATAACACGCAGGAATTGGAGTAGAACCTTACAAGTTACATGAATGTCTGGGATAAAGTAAAATGAGTTATCGAATGCAAGTTTATATACGTAAAATGGTGCCAATTCTCACTGTTGGTGCAGTGCTGCACTCCAGCTGTGAACAAAGTGTTAGATACACCTTTCGCCAAGGTGCATGAAGTGACAAAGCACAAAGACATAGCTATATACAATCCACGTTCTCTGTGTGATGTAATTAATGTCCTAGGACGACCTAATTCCCGTAGACTTTCTACGTCGGTAAAGCAGTCTTTCTGAACGGTTAATTGCAAAATACTAATATTATTTTCTAATTATTAGAGTTGTCGCTCTCTTTATATGAAAATGGTATGCGACGATAAGTTACGAAAAATTTTCGTGTAGACGTATCGATATATTAGTTTGCTATTAAAAGACAGTGTGCGTACACTTGAAACGGGGGGGTCTTGAAAGTACAACTTACCTTTATGAGAAAAGAAATTGTGATGAATATTGAAAAGATAAACATGCCACCAAGACCGTATAAGTGCAGTGTACGTCTTCCTGTTCTATCCATAAGCGGGATGGATACTAACGTCATACAAACCATAATGGCACCTATGCCAATGGTTGCAAACTTGGCACTCTCCTCTGTCAAACCAGAACTAGTGAACAAATTTGTTGAATAGTAAAATACCTGAAACACACGACAATTTCACGGTCCATTACATCCCCCGGCGTCGTGAATCGTGCACGGTTTCGCGACTTGAACAACAGAAGTTGTCCGTGGGGCGAATACAAATTTCATAGCCTGTAATGCACGCCCGAGTTTATAGCGTGCGCGCTACTTACAGCATTAATGCCTGAAAGCTGTTGGGAAAGTTGCATAACCACACCAATAACCAGAGGCGCTCTCAACGTTGGGCTACATATGAGCTCTGTCATCGATATTCGAGACTCGGCTTGTTGAGCTCGTTCTTCGGCTCTCATTTCCTCAATGTCTTCTTCCACTTGGTTACTGGCTCTCAACCTTCTCAAAGCTTTACGTGCTTCTTCCTCCCACTGTTTGGTAATGAGCAAATATCTGGGACATAAAATTAAACGGCGTAAACCGTTGAACACCGTGCCCGAACAATTTTAAACGGGTTAACGTATATCCGAGCAAATTGTTTTCACGAGACTCTACAAATTATTATTAGGTGTAGAATTAAGTTATGTTCACAATTTTCGCCGAGTCCAACTCAGTATACAAAATTTAAATTATTCGACACCCTTTTAATATTGGTGCTTCCAGAGCTGCATTTGTTGCAATTGATTGATTAACATAATGTTAAGAGGGGTGCTCTTCAATTTTTACCAGTTTCGAGGCAATTTTCATGATCTTCTCGTAAGTAAAGTACCTGACGTAAATTTTTGAAATTTAGTACGTTTATTTATATATAAACATATACTATATGTATTAAACATTATATATACAGTGGGTGTAGAAAGTATTCGTACAACGATCAATTTCCAAAGAAACTATGTGAAATTGTAATTTATTAGCTTCTTTTTTTATAAACAATCTTTTTTTCAACCATCTTTTTTATAATCAATGATATTCTACATATTCTTGGAAATCTCTAGAATAGATACAGTACGAAAAGGTTAGGTATTTTGTATAAGTGAGAAATCAACAAGAAAAAACAATGAATCGATAGAAATACAGAAGCAATAAGTATTCGTACAAGTGTTAAGTTTTTAAAAATTCATTTAAAAAACAAACGAAATTTCCATTAATTTATAAATAATTAATACTTCGTGGGATTTCCTTTTGATTTTATAATTACTGCAACTCTTCTAGGCATTAAATTAACTATCACAAATGTCGATGTTATTCGGGGTGGGATCTTCTTTCATTCCTTTATTAGAGCATTTTTTAAGTCTTTTTTACTGGAAATTTAATGTTTTCTAATTTCCACGAAGCAATAAGCTGCTGTGCTTATGTTACAAATTCTACTGTAAATTGTTCGTTATAAGAACTGTGCTAATATTTATTGCTTCTATATTTCTATCAATTTTTTGTATTTTCTTGTTAATTTCGCTAATTATATAAACTAGTAATTGTTGTTTGAACTATATTTTAGAGATTTCCGAGAATATGTAGAATATCATTGATTATAAAAAAAGGAGTTAATAAACTACTATTTCACACAAAAGATTTTTGGGAAATTGATGGATGTACGAATACCCACTGTATATATATATATATATATATATATTAACGCTATAATTACATTTATAATGTATAGAACAAAATCAATTTT